CCCCCCGCCCAGGTCTGAGCTAGTTTGTCTGTGGCCAGAAAAATTTCTGTGCGCTGGTTTTCTCTGCTCCCTTGTTTCCTGAGCAGCTGATAGCTCTGTGCAATGCTTAATTATCAGGAAATTTGAGATGATTAGATTGGATTTTAATATTACTCCATTAAATAAGAAGACTGGGAGCAGCTGATGAATGAACTTGTGTAAAGGGAGAAATAGCGTCTTTGACTTGTTCAACCAGCACTTTGGAAATTCAGTTGCTTTCAGTTTCATAATGTCAAGAATTAAAAAATTTAGAAAATACTTACCCGAATGCTTATTTTGAATCCTCTGAAGAGATAGTTAAAAAGTTTTTTTTCTAATTTCAGCCTTCCACTTTGTAATTAAAACACTGAGAGTCACCAGAGCTTGCTTGTGCCGGACTGTTGGGAATGCATTGCATGAGTGACAGGGTCTGTGCACTTCTTAGTTCATTTTTTTCCTGAGCAGATGATACTGAACTGAGGTTTGCAGGCAGCAAAAAGGCATCAGCATGATCTGAGCCTATTTATCTCAAAAAGATATGCGCGTTATTTTCTTGACGTTGTCACTGGTTGGAATGGGGGGGCGCGGGGATCATCGCTATGCCAAGATGCTCGTGAATGTCTCTCTGTTTTGCAGGTTATGTGTCAGATCCCATGAGCACCATGCGATTTCATTCCTGCAGTAATAGTGGCAGCTTTGAAGAAAGCAGCTGACAGCATGGACCATCTGCCTGCAGAGAGGGTCTCCGTAAACTGACAGTAATGATTCTTACCCTATCGTCAGCCTAACTCCCAGGCATCATATGTTGTACTGAAGATCCCTAAATTGAATTGCTTTATTTATCGATGGCAAATATCCCTGTCATAAGTTATGCTCTGGCTTCTTTTTCTGCTGACCTGCTTGGGGGGAGTAGGGGGTGGCTTCGGTGACAAGCATCTATCCTTCCTCAGCAAAGTAAATGGCCACAAGGAATGCTGCACTTGCAGCTTGAACATTACTAATTTGAAGAGATGAAAGTAAAAAAATGTGTCTGTTGTTAGAGTTTCAAAGCTACAGGGCAAGTGTCGGTGCCTCAGACTGCGCGCAGGCATGCAGCCAGTGGCCGCTCCCCGACGGTAGGGAGGAGCAAGGGAGCAGCCAGACCGGGCTGAACCGAGGCAAGGAACAACCTGTCGTTCCCCACTGCCGATTCAGGCCCCGATGGAGGCAAAGTTGTTCCTTTCCCAGCTTCTAAACACCACCCTGCTTCCTTTTCAAGTTCTCCACAGTCACAGAAACGCCCTGTGTCCTATTTTCAGCGCTGCTGGCTCACGCAGCTCTCCAGCACAGCGTCCCCACAGCTGCAGGGCTTCAGCGCTTCTGCCCACTTGCTGAGAATAGCGAGACGCTTGGGTGGCCACCTTAACTGTACTCTTCCGTACCTGTTATTTTCTTATCCACTGTTTTATTTTGGGTTGTGTGCCTGCTTTTCCTCAAAGAATAAATGCTTTAGTTTAGTTATTTGGTTAATAAACCAACACAGGCACTCCACAACAAACTTTTAACCAGAAGGGAAAAATGCAAAACTAAGTCCCAACCTACATATGTTTAATGTAGAAAGCTAAAATCGTTGTGTCACAAATGTAATAACCTTAAAGCAGTACAAAGGGTTGCGAATTTTCACTCAAAGCACAACTGTGGCCGGGTGCCATCGGCTGGGGGGCGGGGCCGGCGGGGGGGGGCCAGCCTGCCCACGGCGCAAAAACTGCCTCAGGTGTTTGGCTCTGCAGCACAAACTTTGATCACTAGAAATTTAGAAAAAGCTGGGGAGGGGGGGCAGGAGAACTTGAACTCTTCTTCTAGAAGCTATTATAAAGTTAATTCTTCTGTTATGGGGGGGGGGGGAAATTAGGAGAATTTAGCTACAAGCGTTCCTGCTGCAGTATTCTTCCTCAAGCACATGGGCCTGCGCAGCTCTCCGACTGGCTGAGTAGAAACCTGTGTTCACAATATTTACGTGTTGCTCTGCAGATGTTGCCCGTACGCTGCCTTCTTACGACGGCTGTTCCCGAACGGAGGTGGCAATAAGGTGTCGTATCGTGCTACGTGTTTGAACTATAGGTGGGGAGTAGGTTGGAGCGATTCACATCTTCCACGCGTGTTGTTAATGTCACAATCCTGAAGCAATAAAATGGGGATGGTTTCACTGAGGGAGGTCTACAGGTGTTTTGTCATTTGTTTTATTTCATCAGCTGCAGATTTGGGGGGGGG